ACTGGCTAGAGCCAGGCCAGGCTGAAGCAAGGAGCCAGGAGCTTCTGCTGTGTCTCCCATGTGGGGGCAAGACCCCAAGGAATTAAGCCCCCTCTGCTGCTCTCCCAGGTGAGAGCATTAGCAGGGAGCTGAGTCAACCGTGCAAAATGATGCCTGTATGAGATGGGTGTATTGCAAGTGGTGGCTTTACACGGTCCATCACAGCGCCAGGTCCAGGACCTAGTTCTTACAACTACCATGCTGGTGATGAGGACTGAACGTCAGGATTTTGAAGGGTCACACTTTGAGGCCTCACTCAGCCTTGTGCTGCATGAGAAAATGTGGGTGTCATTTTTCCATCGCACATCTTTTTTTTTTTTTTCTGCCATGTTAGAACATCGCAGGGATGTCCTCATGAGACACTAACTCTGCTTGCCCGTCTCCAGGAACCATGAGGAGAAGACGCCCAGGGTCCACAAACCACCCGAGAGGTAGGAGTGCCTAAGACAGGAGACCTTCCAGGAGATGACCTGGTCTGGGTCCTTCTCCGAGGATGTTAGCACAGCACCCTCTTTCCTGCCTGGGGGGCCACAGTTGGAAGGAAAAGCACCAGTGCTTTCAGGGTTCTTCCCTCTTATCTGCAGTATTGAGCCCCTCTTCTCCAGGGGGATGTGCTCCAAGATCTGGGCAGATTCTGAATCCACGGACAGGGTTGACCAGGTGGTATTGCCCCAGTCCCTCTGCTACCCAAGATGGTAACCAGGCAGCTAACAGGTGCAGATGGACACACCAGACACAGGAAGGGCTTACAACCCAAGTCAGATGAAGGGGGAAGGCATAAGGCTTTCTCGTGCTAACTCTCCTCTGCACAAAATGTCAAGCGTAAGAATGGGATCCTTCCAGAACTTTCCATAGGTAATTGAAGCCATGAATAGTGAAACATTGGGTGATGGGAGACTGAAATATTCCCAAATAATGGAAGAGTTACTAATACTTCTTGGAAACAGGCATGACTTGGACTGGCACAATGGCATAGAGTGCCAAGTCTCCACCTATGGTACTGCCATCCCGTATGGGTACCGGTTCATGTCCTAGTGCCCCACTTCCCTTCCAGATCCCTGATGATGTGCCTGGAAAAGCAGCAGAGAATCACCTGAGTGCGTGGGCCTCTGTACTCACATTGGAGACCTGGAAGAGGCTCGTGGGTTCTGGCCTGCCTAGACCCAGTCGTTGTGCCCATTTGGGGAGTGGACCAGCAGGTGAAACATCTCTCTCTCTCTCTCTCCTTTCTCTCTATAACTCTGCCTATCAAATAGAATAATTAAAAAAAAATTTATAAGGAAACAAGCGACAAATATGAAAAACTTAACCTTCTCCATAATTATTCACCTTGTTTTCAAGAAGCTTTTCAGAATTTGTTCAAACAGCTAGGTAAGTAGCTTGAAATCATTCTACTGATAATATCTTGTGAGGATTCAGAGTGTGACAATCATGGCATGGGAATTAGTTGTGGATTCTGGGCTGTGCTTGGGTACCCGGACACTTCTGGGAGAGCTTCCCGGTTTGCATTGTCCCCTGAAGGGGTCTGAGTCATGGAAACGGAGGGGAAAAAAAGCCCCTTGGGATGGTTTCTGATGTGTTCTGTTTTTCCTGTTAACTCTGCAGAACAGGGTGGGACCATTGCAGCTGTGTTACTCCTCTTCCAACGCCAGAGGGCAGCTGAGGGAGGCTTGAATCACTGATAGAAAAACCATGGGTGTGGTCAGGGTGCTGTCTCCTGGATTAGGGTGCTGTTTGTTGCAGTCTGTTCAATTAGGCTCACAGCAGAGACCAACATTTCTGCAGCCCTGTCTTCCCTTGCAAACACACACCAGCCACGAGGGTATTTCTCTGGCCTCATCTCCTCCTTTTCCTCCCTTATTGCCCAGCTTTCCGTTGCCATCTCAAATGCCAGCTTCCTTTGTTTGGGGACTCGATTATTGCTCTTGTTTCCTTGACTCTCCTAATTTTGTCTCCTCTTAGTGCGGTCGCTTTGCCAAAACCTGCCCTGACCGTTGGGCCTGGTCCTGTCTTTCAACTGTGTCCTTTGTTTCTGTAAGATTTAAATCTTTATATTTGAAAGGCAGCTATCCCGGCTGTAGCAACTGCCAGGGTTGCCTTGTACCTAGGTCAAGAGTTACACTGCTGGGAGAAAAGCAGCCAGCACCTGGTGGGCATTCTGGGCCTGGTTAGTCTGTGTTAACTATACCAGCATGCCAGCATGCTTGTTTATTCATTCTGGTTTTGTGAAGATAAGTGGGGAAGGTGTGGAACACCAGGTTGGTACATGCCACCCTAGCACCCGGGTGGGCAGGGTTAGGGATGCTGCAGATTGCTTGAGGAAGGGGGTCTGGGTACATATTGGAGTGGGAGCAGCTGAGGACATATTTGACAAAATTTTTATTTGAACAAAATTTTTTCACATCCGAGTTCTGAAACTCAATTATTGAAATTAGTGTTTCCATTTAAACCCTTTACACACTAGGTTTGGAGAGATTATAAATGTCTTTGCCTTGTCATCTAGACTTCAACAAGAAGGAACATTCGGAGCCCAAACAACCTGTCAGGCACCTCTGATGACTCTGTGTTCTACTGGGGACCTCCAGATCACCCCTGAAGAGCTCCTACTGCTGGTGTTATCAACCATGCCCCTTTCAGCATGAAGCAGCTAGAGAGCCTGTAGCCCCATCTCCCCAACAGCAATTTTCTGGGGTCAGAATGACTGAGTAGTAGGCAGTCAAGATTTTCTGGGTCTCCGAGTCATTTTTTTCTCAAATATAAAATGTCATTTTCTCCTCCATGTCTCAAATTCTCCAGAACACGTTTCTCCTATGAGACAAGGGCAAAATTAACATATCAACTCCCCATCAATAACTCCCACCCAGTTTCATGTCCGGGTAAGTGCCAAGGGGGAAGTGTCATCAGAAAGGGATTGAGCAAGTTAACCAATAAAACATTTTGGGGCCCTTTGTCTCAGAACCATATCTCTGCTTGTCTCTGTATGTGATTGCCTTTCAAATAAATAATTAAATATTTTTTTAAAGAAATGTTTTTGATCTTGAATTTTCCTTTGCTTTTGGAGAAACTCCTTTGAAGTTTTAAAAGTTTTATACGTTTTCAAAGACACCATCCCCACCATTACCTTGGGTTTTTCTTTCTTCCTCCTGCCACTGTGCAGGAGGTCTGGGTTTTTCTTCCTTGGAGGCCCCTCCTGTCACTATGGCACGAGTTTGCTCTTTATTTCCTAAATAAATCATACTTTACAAACTAAGCTGTGTCCTCATGAAAATTCTCCTTTCATGTGAGACAAGAATTGAGGTTGCTGCCATATTTTGCTTTGAAAAGTCCTACATCACTTGAAATCTCTCCACAGGAAGTCATGGGAGGTACAGCAGCAGGGCTAGGAACCCGTGCCTATATGGGATCCCAGTGTTTGCAAGATGAGGGCTTAGTCACTAAGCTATGGTGCTGGGCCAATCATTGCTTCCCTTCTAATCCAGCATCCTGAGATGTGCTTGGGAAAGCAGGGAAACTGGCTCAAGGGCTTGGCCCCTGCACCCAGAGGGAGACAAAAAAGAAAATTTTGCCTTTGAACTGACTGATTTTCACCTGTTTTGGTGATTTGAGGAGTGAACCAGTGCATGCAAGTTATCTCTTACTCTCTCCTTGTCTCTGTGTGTGACTGCCTTTCAAATAAATAATAAATCTTTTTAAAGAAATGTTTTTGATCTTGCCCACCCTCACACCAAGCCAGATCTGACACTCTTCTCCAGCTGGTCGAAGTGTAAGTGACATGGGAACCAAGGGGACTGGACAGCTGGGGAGGGGCCTTCAGGGACAGCTGAGAAGCCAGGCTTCAAGGCTGAGCTCGGGAGCTGGTTGTTCTAAGAGACCCCTCTCAGTGGAGGGTGGGGTGCTCTCCTTTTTCCCACGTATAAGGGTTCCCAAGTTTACTTTCTTTTTTGTCCCCCCAAACTCCTAGAGTTTGGAGTGTGGAGATTCTAGAGGGGCTGGAGTGCCCTGTAGGACAACATTTCTGTGTTTTAGCTCTTCATTCTTAGTAAGAAATAGCTCCTCACTGGAGATTTGTTGGAGATCTAGAGCTGAGAGTGGTTGAATCTCCTGGCCCATGTCCTCAGCCTCCCCTGCCCACCATTTCCCAATAGCAGCAGAGGGTGGGGTTGTTCAGGAAATTTCTCACCCACACTCCAGGGCAAGGAAACCAGCAGAGGCCCAGTACTTCCCTTCTGCATGTTGTAAGCAGTGGCTGCGGGTGTCTGGGGCACTTCGTCAGCACTTCCGGTCCAGAGTCCATGGCCAGTGCAGAGGATAAGCAAAGGGGTCCTGGCCTGTGCAGAGGATAAGCAAAGGGGTCCTGGCCTGTGCAGCTTGGTGCTGCCACTGGGCTCCAGGGGAATCCAGGGAGGGACAGGGCGGGAGGGTGGAAGATTCCAGCAGCTGTCTAGGCCTAGGCAGAGGTGGAGCCCCAGCGCTGGGGTCAGAGGGCTCTTCCTCCTTTCTGGAGAAGGGCCTAGCTCGCTGGTCCAACGCAACTTCAGGAAAACAGAGTGTGTGGCTAAACCAGCTAGTCTGAGCCAGCTGACCCACCCGGGCCTATTGCGGTCTGTGCCCTGGCCTGAGCCAGTCCATTGCACCCTACCTCACACCCACTCCCCGAGGCAGAGTGACCTGTACCTGATGCAGCAATCTGAGGGAATCTAGACCCCATTCTCAGGTGGGCATGGAGACATGCCTGTTCCTAACAGGAAGGTTGTGAGTGCTGAATTTCAAACATGATAATGAGCCTATTAAGTCTCACTGTGTCTTTGTCGGGTTTGTTTTAATGAGCAGTAAGGAACTACAAATTTTAAAAACAAAAATAAAGAAATGTCATGAAGTAATGGAAGCCATTGGTGTGTTCAGGAATGACACTTTGGTTTGAAGCAGTGGGACAGAAATGTGTGCTTAGCTTAAGGGGGCCCATGCAGCCATGTAAGCCCTGTGTTAAAGGAAATCATTAGGTCTGGCCTAATGCAGGTAGGACTTGAAATCCCATACATCTACAGTGGACTAGACAGGTTAAAGCGCAGCAAGCTATGTGCCACTCAGACAATGGTGTTACAAATATGCAAATGGACCTGATAGGGCTAGGGTAGGGAAGGGTCACCACTCCAAGAGGGACACCCATCTGCATTTTGCTCCTACAGAGTGTAGTTGCACTCCTGAGAAGGGTATAAGGGAGAGAGAGGGAGAAGCTGCAGGTGCCAGGATGGTTTGCATGTGTGAAGGAAGCCAGTGATGATGGGCAGGTGGCTGTGTGAGCTATGCCAGCTTGGGCAGTGGTCATTTCATGCCCTCTGTTCTGTCACAGACATCTCCATGGAGTCACTGAGTGCAGCCAACACCCGTTTTGCCTTGGACCTGTTCCTGGCCTTGGACAAAGACAACCCTACGGGAAACATCTTCGTGTCTCCCTATAGCATCTCCTCGGCCATGGCTATGATCCTCCTGGGGGCCCGAGGAGACACGGAGGCCCAGCTGTCCAAGGTCAGCAGACGCCTTTATTACCTCAACCACTGTGTTGTCATGGACCATGGCTCTGTCCCTGACCCTGTGTGGGGTACCCTGTCTGCCAGGGCTTTGGAGTGAGGACAGCCTTGCAGCAAAGCCCAGTTTGCATTTGCTTGTTGAGCACCTGCTTTGTGTTTTGAAGGCATGCAAGTGAACAAAGCTGCCCAAATCCCCACACTGGAGGCTGCTGCCATTCCCATGGGTGGCAGATTCTGGGCAGCTGTTCTGTAAGCCATGCCCTGCCTGTGCCTGGCAGAGGCAGGGTCCTGCAGAGGGAAGGGATCCCAGAGAGAGCTGGAAGTTTCCAGGGTGGACCAGATTTCTTATATTGTGGCAGAAAGTGGAGAGTCCAAGACGGCAAGTTTCCTTACCTCACCGGATGGAACTATCAAGAGTTCATGGGTTACCACCTACATCCTGGGACAGGGAGGGATGTTCTGAGATTACTGTGGTGGTTCCTGTGTCCCTGGGGCTGTGTTGTGAGGTTTCCTGAGGCTGGTTGCTTCTTGGCCTCGGAGTCCAGTCCCAAGCTGGGCCCTTCCCATTGGTGGTGAGAAGGCGTTGAGTTGGATGGCAGCGGAATGCTCAGGACTCGCTCTGTAACTCCGGCATGGGTGGCTGTTGGCAATGTGTGTCTTTGGTTCTTAGGCTCTTCATTTTGATGCCGTGGAGGATGTTCATTCGCGATTCCAGAGCCTGCATGCTGAGATGAGCAAGCGCAGGGAGGCCTGTGTGCTGAAACTCGCTAACAGGCTCTATGGAGAGAAAACCTACGCCTTTCTCCCTGTGAGTATGCCGGGCTAGGGATCCCCAAACCCCACTGGGCTTGCTTCCCTCACACAGCCAAGGGTTAGTAGCACATTCATAGGTTTGTTAGATTTTGCAAAACAAAACCTATACTAAACAAATCATTACAAGAAACATCAATCTTGAATGGATCCATATGACAGAAAGCCCCTGCCCTCTGCTCAAACTGATGTAGTGATTTCGTTTCACAGTCTAGGGAGAAATGATCAGTTTTGTATGCACTGTTCAAGTAAGAGCGACTTCTAAGTAAAAGCAAGAGTTGCCATGTATGTATATATATATATAAAATATTCATGCATACTGTGTTTATATGGATTTGTAAGTAAATACATACATTTATGCATGTTTGTGTGTAGAGTCCAGGATTAGAAAAGAATGTGTAGGTTTTATGTTTATAATTACGGTGGTTAGGCTTACCATGATTGATCTGTACACTGAACAATTTTAAAGATGATAAATGAGTGTATTTTTTCATAGCAAAACGTTTTAAAAAATATTAAGTGAAGTTTTGTGGTTAATGATTCGGGGTCTTTTTCTGACGATTTCCATGACTTTTTAGGTAGCTATTTTTTGTACAAAGATTTTTCAAAGAAATACTCAAAAAATTATAGAAATATTTAAGGAGAAGTTCATCTGCCATTTGGGTCAAAAATAGACATATGCTGGCATCAGTTAATAATTTAAGGGAGATCTTAATTCAGGGGGAAAATACAAATGATTTGAAAGGAGGAACAGACCATGTTTCAGATGATCATGCTAGAAAATCTACATTATTAGCGTATAAATTAGTCGAGTGTGGTAGCTGGTTATAGGTTTAATTTACCAAATATCACCATCAGTATTTGTGTGTAACATGACTTAAAAACAGCTTCTAATAGATTGATAACAACATCCGTAAATGTTCTGGTGCCTAGGAATAAGTCTAGCAAAAGCTACTCTGGAACCCTATACAGAAAACCACGAACATGATGGAGATAAATCAAGATCAGGATGCACAGCTTTCCCACAGTGAGGATTCAAGATTTTAACATGTGTCAATTGACCAAAGGAATTCATGAAATCCAACAGAAAATAAAGCACTTAACTTTTCTCTTCTCAGTGAAATGTGCCACGTGGTTGTAATAGTCTACATCATGGGCGAAGAGATCAAGACTATCTGACATAAGCATGTCGGGGTCACATCTCCTCAAGATTTACTCCAGACCTGCAGGAACAAGAATGTCAGAAATCGGGCCAGAGCAGAGTCTAGGATGAGCCCCACACAGCAGGAAGCCTGCTCTCTGACGAGTACCACCATCCCACTGGTTTGCCTGCCCCAGCCCACGGGTGCCTTTGGTCCTTACACACTTGCAGTGGAGCCTCTGCATTGAGGGTTCCACATCTGCAGATTCAACCACCTGGGAACTGGAAATATCTGAAAGGAAATCTGTGCTGAGCGAGTCCAGATATTTTGTTCTGGTCGTTGATCCCTCCACAGTAGAGTACAACAAAAACAGAGTAAAAAAAAAAAAAAGTAAGAAGCAATGCCAAGCGGCTTTTTTCTCCATTTCCATGATTCAGACCTCTTAAGCAAAAAGGGAAGCTCTCCCGGAAGTGTCCAGGTACCCAAGCACAGCCCAGAATCCACAGCTAACTCCCACCCCAAGATTGTCACACCTTGAATCTTCACAGGATACTATCTGTAGAATGATTTCGAGCTACTTTCCTAGCTGGTTTGCACAAATTAAAAAAAGCTTCTTGAAAACAAGGTGAATAATTACTGTAGAATATGAAGCTATTTTTGTAACTCTTAATATTTTACTATTTTTTAAGAGTTTATTCTATTTGACAAGCAGAATTATAGAGAGAAAGGAGAGTGAGAGAAAAAGAGAAAAAGACAGAAATGTCTTCCATTTGCTGGTTCACTCCCCAAAAGGGCACAACGACCGGGTCAGCATGGGCCAGAACACAGGAGCGTCTTCCAGGTCTCCAATGTGGATGCAGGGGCCCGAGTACTCAGGTGATTCTCTGCTGCTTTTCCAGGCACATCATGAGGGATCTGGAAGGGAAGTGGGGCACTAGGACATGAACCGGCACCATATGGGAAGAAAGTGGCACGGATGGAGTCTCAGCGTGCTGTGCCACTCTGCCAGGCCTAATCACTTCTGTTTTCAAGAACTAGGGTCAAGTATCTAGTAATTTCCTCTCATGCAAACTTTCTCTTTCCATGGCTTCAGTTACCTATGGAAAGTTCTGGAAGGAAACCATTCTTAGGCTTGAAGTTGTGTGCAGAGGAGAGTTAACACAGGAAAATCTGATTTGGGTTGTAAGCCCTCCCTGTGTCTGGTGTGTCCATCTGCACCCGTTAGCTGCCCGGTAACCGTCTTGGGGAGCAGAGGGTCTGGGGCTATACTGCAGGGTCAGTCCTGTCTGTGGATTCAGAATCTGCCCAGATCTTGGAGCACATCCCCCTGGAGAAGAGGGGCTCAATACTGCAGATAAGAGGGAAGAACCCTGAAAGCATTGGTGCTTCTTCTTCCTATTGTAGCCCCCACGGGTAGGAAAGGTCTCCTGTCTTAGGCACTCCTATCTCTCCAGGTGGTTTGTGGACCCTGGGCGTCTTCCCCTCACAGTTCTGGGCACTGGAGTACAAGCCATGAGAGTTATTGGGCAGGGCTGCTACAGGCTTGTTGACCCAGCCAGTACCCCCAATTGGACAGGATTCCAAGAGCCCATTCTCAAGCCTTGAGGAAATGTCCTGTTGTTGGTAGGTTGTTTTGGGGTTTTCAGGGGATGTGTGACTCTGGCTGCCTTCCGAGCTGGAGGGAGTTGGTTCCAGGAAGATTGGGGCCTCGTCTTTTGTAGAGGATACGGAAATGTGACTTGTGATGTGCACTTTGCGGGTGAGGCTGAGATGAGCTAAGAGTTTGGGCACTAACAAGATGGGGTATCTTATGAGAAGACATAAATTTGGCATCTGGGCCTGGAATAGTGTGATTGGAATGCATGCCCTCCAAGATTCATGTGAAACTTAGAACTCAATGTAATAGCATTAAAAGGTAGAATGTTTAATTTTTTTGAAGATTTATTTATTTTTATTTGAAAGGGAGATTTACAGTTTGAAAAGGAGGGGTTAGAGGGGTTTTGCAACACTTGTTCACTCCCGAAATGGCCACAATGACTGCAGCTGGGCTGGTCCAAAGCTAGGAGCCTAGAGTTTCTCCCAGGTCTCCCACATGGGTGCAGGGCACAAGGATTTGAGTCTTGCTCTACTGCTTTCCCAAGCTCATTAGCAGGAAGTTGGATAGGAAGTGGAGCAGCTGGGACTCGAACTGGCACATATGGTATGCTGGCACCGCAGTGAGAGGCTGAATATCATATGCCACAACAGAGGACCAAGCCACAGTATTGAGGAGGTGGTTAGGCTGAGGGGATAAGGCCCTCAGAAGCAAAGGTCTTCCACCCTGTATTAGGTATTTTGCCACTCTACCTGCCACTGTTGAGGACACAGCAGCAAGGTGTCACCTGAGGGGCAGAGAACAGCCCTCCCCCTGCAGTGCACATGAGGTCTTGGCCTTGCTGCCCTTCAGAACCATGAAAGCTCAATAGAGCTCGCTTGAGAAACAACACATTGAGAACTGGACTCACACCGGGGCCACAATGGACAGCTGCACTGTGTGAAGGAATGGCCAAGCTATCGAAGGGGACCAACAAGCCCCAGGGGATGTGAAGGCTCCTGCTGTGGCTAACAGCATTCTGGGTGTGGAGGCATGATTTTGATGGCAAAATATGCTGGTGGCAGACAGAGTGGGTCCTCTGGCCTCTTACCATCATTTGGCCAGGAGATGGCCACTCTGTTGACTGAAACTGGCCATAGAGCAGTGAGCCAAATTGCAACCAATGGTAGGGGGTGGCCATGCTTACCTCCAAGTGTTGCCCCATCCTAGGTGGACACACAGCCTGGCCATCTGGTTAGGAGAGTTGGTGATGCTTGCTGTATTCAGAGATGCCCTAGGCAGGGACAAGGACTATCACCTGAAAGGGACACAGGTACATTTCTCATGTGGACCCTGGGGCTCCCATGAGCACCCTGGAGAGGAAAGTAACCACATGTGGTTTTGGTTATCCTGAGGGACTTCACTGAGGTCAGCGAGTATCCCCTCCCTACCTTGGCAATGCCACGGTGGGAATGCTGCTGTGCTGGGATGGAACCACTGGCTAATGAAGTGACTGAGTCGCTCAGCATCTGAAGACAGGCTCTGAGGACGGGCTTGCTAGTGGGTGGTTTGTGCTGACTGTGACAGTTGGGGTGACATGACCCCTGTAGCTGTCCAAAGGAAGTATAGCCCTAGGCTTGTGGGTGCAGAGGTGGACAGGGCAGGGTCCTAAATGGGCAGTGCCCAGTTGGTCTTTCCTCCTTTTCCATTTTAGTGCATTTATAGCCATCATGGAGTGGTTCTCCCACTGGACGGGACCCCCAGGAATGAAACACCAGGAATCAGGTGTCTCTGGCAGCCCCAGAAGCCTCTGATCCTGGCAGCTGGACAGAGCATGGCATCATAGCCTTCAGCCCTGGACCGGAAGTGTCCTTCCTACATGGGTGGGATAAGTACCAAGTAACAGAAGAGTTGGTTCAGCCTCATCTTAGACAGTGTGTGATGAATTGATGGTTGATAAGGAACGATCTTCCTCAGACGTTTATGATGTGTATGCACATGTGCATTGAGGAGATGGTTTTAAGGTACACTTGACCCAGGTGGTTGCTCTCCAGGTGAGCACATGCATGCGCCTTGATGGAGGGAAAGAAATGAGAAACTCAGCACCCTTTGCCTCAGCTCCCGCAGCTTGGGGTTTGAGGGGAGCTTCTCTGGGGCCCCCTTCCACACTTGGCTTTCAGAAGCTGACCTCATGGTAGAAGCTTCACCCTGAGCTCTGACCTCAGATGGGAGGCCAACAGATCTGATTCACCACTTCCCAGAAGCCACAGAGCAGTCTCTTTGGGGATGTTGGTTTCTTCA